TATTATTATTATTATTATTATTTTGGTTACATAATGACATAAGTTAAAATATATTTTATTCGTTCTTCATAATATTATCGACTTATAACTTATTTTTTAAAACTTTTATTTAATCGCCAACAAGATTTCGATTTATATTTTACTTTTATATTCTTATTAATTTATTTACTGATGAAAATTTATTTGATAAATTAAATTTATAAACTATTTATGTTTTCACTAATACTAACTAAAAAACCGTCTGTAATTTTCATTTAATTTTTCTTAATTTTATTATTTATCGACGAACTTTTACATAAGAAAAGCACAAAATTTTACAAATCGAGAGCCTTACTCGACCATCTAATTCTGCCGAACGTTAATTGCACGAACTGCATCATATAATCAAATTAATTTTTGTTTCGATCTAAATTAAGAAAAAAGATTTATGGTAATTGAATATCAGTGACGTCATAATCTATTATTCTTTGCATTTCTCTCTCCTTCTTTTCCTCTGGAAATTGAACGGTCAATCTGTAGACTGCAAATCTCACGCCACAACATTTCCATTCGTTACTCGAAGATAATCTCTTTTTGACGCACTGCACAAATATCACGCCCCAACATTTGTCCGCACCGATCCGCACCCAAATCTAATTTTCCGGTCATCCCATTAATTTCAGTCACCGACATTCCGCTTCAGTGAATCGATACGCACTGAACAATCTGCTTAAAACCCATAAGCAGAATTAGTAATTACTCATTTAATTTTGCAGCTATGTATAAATATTAATTGACTTCCAGATTTCATTAACCCCTTATTGTAGATCTATCAATTTCAAACACTCTCCAATTACTGGAGAATAACCATGGTTTCCACAAGTAAAATCAAATCCGTTGATTTTTACAGGTAACGTTGTTTATTTTTTATTTTTTATGAATTTGTTTGGAAAGCTTTATGGTCAAATTTCCATGTGATGAATCTCTAATTTTGGGATCATTTGTTGCCCTAAGACCCATCAATTATTTGTTATGTCATGAATCTCAGTCTATGTTTTTTCTAGGTTTTGGTTCATTCTGTAATTATTTTTGGATGAGATGCACTGTTTTATTTTTCGTGCTTAGATGTTGAATTATGGGTGGCAGTGAATGTAACATGATTCTGCACTTGGTGAGTTCATGAGAGGATCCAGTTAAAAACTTACATCACTTGGTATACGGTCCAGTGAATTGGGATAAATTTACTTGAAAATGCCATTTTACTGTTTAAATGGGATGTCTGGATATGGGGTTGTTTGCTGCCGTAGGCTGTAAATTTATTTAGTCAAAACAATGTAGTCGATGGTGTGGTGCATTGGCGGACCTGAAAAAACCGATACTCCAGATAATAAGTTGCACTTTTTTCTGGATGTTTCAGGAGTAAATCGGAAAAAATTGGTATTATCGTAAATGGCCTAGATTGACAATTGAGGAATTTGGCAATATAGTCATTGTCTTATATGAACTATCTTTAATTTGGTGGAATATTTTCAATGTCAAACAACCAGTTTTTCCTTAAAAGCCCCATACCATATATAATCATTTTAGTAATGCGTTCGTTTTTTTTCCTGGTCAGCGATTATGCCAGGACAATTTTCTTTTTATGTGTTGTTTCTTAACAATATAATATTGCTTTGAATGTCTGCAGCATTATGAATAATTTGTCATGCCTGTTACGTTTTCAAGTGCACCTAGCACGTGTACTTGTATTCTAGATCTAGTTCTTAGACGTTGCAAAGGAACTTTGGGGCGTATATCTTGATCGTATCTTAAGCTGCCGTACCCATCTTCAGACTGTTTTTCGACATTTAAGACAAATATTGCATGCTTAAAAAGATCTTAAATATACATTCCGAATAGACTTCTTGCTTTCTCTCCCTGGTATATTGTGTCTGACGATGGGATTAAGGTTGGTCCTGCACTGTTGAGAGCCATCAAAGTTGGCCCACTCCATGACAGAGAGATGTAATTTCCATGGATAGTTCTCTGGTTGAGGCTGTTTTACTGGAAATTTTAGAACTCAAGTAGTTTCTTTCAATCTGGCCCCTCGTATAGCAATACTAGGTTTTGATAAGATCAACTGTGATGTATTTCATGAAGTGTTTAGAAATATCTTGACGTTAGGAGATATCTTATTGCATGTCAAAGTAAGAGGCTGAATGTAGCTGAGCCTAGTTTGTTGCCATATGATACAAGTTTCAAGAATATTGGAGACAGCCCCAAACCTACTGTCATTTTTTGGGGACTTGGAGGAGTCAACTAAAAACTAACTTTTGATTTAGTATCCACAGTCAACCATAGACAGACGTACAGTCATACAAGTGATAAATATTTGTGATTTATAATTGAAATTTTGTTTGTGAAGGAGATAGATGAAAAATGAAACATTGACAAGCTTAGTTGTTGACCTGTTTCTTTTAATCCTTTCAAAAAATAATTCTATTTAGCGAATTTTTAAATTAAAAAGAAATGGCTACTAAGAGTAACAAAATTCAAATTCAGCATTCCTATTTCAGTTTTATTGACATTAAATGAAAATGTTGTGTTGCTAATGATGCTGTATACTGACATTTGATGGCACTCGGAGTTTCTTATTATTTTTTTCTTTTCTTCGCAGAAAAATTCCCAGAGATTTGACTGAAGCATCTTTGTCAGGTGCTGGGTTGTCAATTATAGCTGCCTTTGCCATGATCTTTCTATTTGGAATGGTAGGAAGCTGACTCCTTTCTGGTCAATCATTAACAGCTTTATGCACAGATAGATTTATCACAAAATAAATATTGCTATCATTATCTAAATTTATTAAGCAAAAATTGCTTTACATTGTAAGTTTTGCTTTCAGTTATAAGCTGTTCTCTGTCTGCTTGTGTTATATGCAGGAACTAAATGATTATTTGACAGTGAGTACCTCTACATCAATTATTGTTGACAAGAGTTCTGATGGGGACTTCTTACGAATTGATTTCAATCTGAGGTAAAAATTGCTTGGTTAATAATATCTTACATCAGGTGAATACGGGGTGGTAAATATTTTCACATGTAGCCTTTTCTTATTGCTTACACCTTCCTGCTCGGTATGTTCTGTGTGAGACTAGTTAGACTGGAGGCTTGCTCTATTCATAAAAACAAGTGGTATATCAGCAGGCCATTCACAACCATTTGTTCTCTTTTTCACCTTTCTTTTCACAATATGGGAAAGGATAGTGAAAATGAATTATGGGAATTCTGAATGCACTTAACTGCACCGTCAGCTTATTTGGTAACTGACTAGTTCCTTTATTTCATTATTGAAACCTTAAAATTGGCAATTTTTTCTTCACCAGTCATAATATAGACATTGTTACATCAAAGTTTGCTTCCATTATCAGGTATAAAACTGGAAGTTTGGTACCAAAACTTGAAATACTATCTTTCTAATCTTCATGACACGACATCTCTCATTCTTCAACCTGTTTCTACAAGCAAATTTTTCAAAATAAAAAAAGGTACTGACGTGATTAAAATTATAACTTTTTTTTTTCATTTTTTATATTTTAAATTTTTGTTCTTAATTTCGCCATGTTGAAAATGTATTTCCTGGCGTGCTGGCAGTTTATCGATGACGTGGCCAACTTACAAAACCAAAAATTAATTTTGACACACCACTGTCATTTTCGACATAGATTGGCGACGTGTTGATGTCCGACACAATATCTTTTCCAACATATCGGCAACGTGTTGATGACGTGTCTAACTGTACAAAATAAAAAAATAATTTGGCCATGCCAGACATGTCAGAGTCTGACACAATGCCTGTCGGTAATGTGTCTAACTGTACAAAGTCAAAAAATAATTTGGACACTTCACCTGGGGTTTCCGACTCGTCTTGGTGACATAGGTGTTGTCTGTCGTGTACGTGTCAGACACTTAATTGTCGGTTTTGGAAGGGTGTCGATGCAACCTAGTATATTCATTTGTTTTGTTCTATTCACTTTATTCAAAAGTCGCCGTACACTTTTAGGGTGCGTTTGATTGCAAGGGTGGAAAATGAGTGAAAAGAAAATATTTTACAGGGAAAAGATTTGTCAATAAAATGTTTTGCAGGGAAAATGATTTCAAGTGTGTTTGATTGGTATAATTTTCCACCCGAAAAAAATTTGAAATTTTGGATTTTTTTGTTCACGTTTGGTTTTATTAAATTATTTTCCTAGTTCTAGGCAAAGTCATGGCTATCAAACATAGCCTTAGAAAACTTTACTAAGAGATGTCCCTAAAAAATGCCACCTTCGATCTTTCATTTTCTGGCTAGATTGAAGACGATGATCTGTTTATGATCCTATATTTTTCTGTTTGTGTTTGATACTCGTGATTCTGTCAATTGTCCTTTTAGATTGAAGCTCTATCTTATAGAGTCACAATGGAATTTTCTATTGCCCTTTGGCTAATAAAGTGCTTTCTATCATGGATGGATTATTATATTAAACTGGATTTTTTGGGGGTAGTCATTCCTCACGTCTTTCTCTTGTGCCGTAAATAATTGATTTCTTCACTTTCTCATCCGTCTTTCCATTAAATCTATATTGACTATTTTTTTTTATATCATCTGGTAGTTTTCCAGCACTATCTTGTGAATTTGCATCCATTGATGTCAGCGATGTCTTGGGAACAGTAAGTTTCATCCATTGATTCCTTCACATATATATCGTTTTTCTTCATGTATTGAGGAGGACAAGAAATTTATTATATAGCTCATTTTCTTCTATGGTTTCTATTTTGTCAAAAAATCTGATTTTGCAACATTTTCATTTAGTATATTGCTGAACTGGTGTCCTATTTTTTTCAGAATAGGTTAAATATAACTAAAACTGTCCGCAAGTACTCGATAGATTCAAACTTAAAGCCTACTGGCTCTGAGTTTCAATCAGGACCAATTTCAACAGCAATTAAGCACGATGAGGAAGTTGACGAAGAACATGGTGAAGGTGCTGTTACACTTAATTCACACAATTTTGACAGAGTTTCACATCAGTAAGTGGATTGTGCTTGACAGCCTTGAATTCTGATTCCTATCTTTGTTTTGTTATTACACCTGCATGTTTAATGTTTACCCATGCAATAGACTTCTGATAATTCAAAATATTGCTTTGACAGGCACCCTATTTTGGTAGTAAATTTCTATGCGCCTTGGTGCTACTGGAGCAACCGCTTGGTAATTTATATCTTTTTCTATCCTTGCCGGCAGTGTTGCTTACTCAATTTTCAATTATTTTGAACTGTTCGCTCCTGCTATGAATGGGAATATTAATGTATGATTATAGATTGACCAACACTTTTCTTTCTCCATGTTTGTTTCAGAAACCTTCATGGGAGAAAGCAGCCAAAATTATAAGAGAAAGGTTGAATTCTTTCTGTATTTTATTGTTTTTAAACTGAAAATATGACCACGTTCACAGTATTCTCTACATTGTGAAAATGGACGTTATATTGATATTATTCCATTCAAAAGCTAATCTACAACATCTTTTTTAGATATGACCCAGAATTTGATGGACGTATTCTTTTGGGAAAGGTTGATTGTACTGAAGAAGTTGAGTTGTGTAGAAGGTACTTTTTGATCTAGCTTTTGCTTGTTCAATAAATTATTCTTTAGTTAAATAGTAGCTCTTTTCTTATTTTTGTTTACATATGGAGTATCTTGACTTTGATTGATCTCTCATGTATTATAATTCTTTTATAAAGTAAAAGTTTTGTTTCTATATTTGAAGAGGAAGATTGAAGAATGTGGTTGTAGGCACTTTTGGGCATGAATTGGCACATGATAAGTTATACAATTATCTTGCTACTGAAGTTGTAGAGAAATTTACTTACATAATCTCTCAACAACCAAAAATGAAAAATGAGATCTGAACCAACTTAAGTGTATGAAGGATAAAAACCAAAGAATTTTGCTTCATAGCAGTGAGTTCGTAGAGGCATGGAAGTTATCAACATGTCAAACTATACCCAAAAAAGAAATATTAACTATATTAGAAGTATCTGAGTTTCTGTTATAGATGACAAGGTTAAGATGGATGCATGATCATACTAGAATGGATAAAATTGCACACTCACGAGTACACTAAGTTACTAGAATGATTTTGCTGCATATTGCTACTTGGCATCAATTTCTGCCAGACTTATTACCATGGGTCCATGACCAAAATCTTGCTTGACAATCATTTTGGCATTTTGACTTCTTATATCTGTCTGCGTTTTTCTTTATTGCTTGCTTCTTATAGAGTCCCCATGTAAAACCCATATTCCTATGCAGTTTTGTTGCATGCCAGCAAGCCTTATGCCTTTCTGAATTGTTGAACCAGCAATCAGTTGCTAATGTTAGTTTTCTTGCTGTGGTGCTTTTCCTTGACCCTTTCTTCCATTTGCTTAAACAGTCTCTTATTAATGAATGTTCAGGAATCACATACAAGGGTATCCTTCTATTCGCATCTTCCGCAAGGGAAGTGATGTCAGGTAAATAGTTGATTCTTTTGCCAATTCTCATCGGACTTTTTCTGTAATTCTTTCAGATCTGTTGTTACTTGAATAGAGTTATCTTTAGACGCCCTTTTTTTTTCACTGTACCTGTAAATTCAAAGTCGAGCTTTTAACCTTAAAAGGGGAAATTGGTGCTAGACTATAAACCGGACTTAACATGCCCACCTGCTACTAAGCAGGGTATATTTTCTAGCTTTTTCTTAATTATGGTGGTCTTTTACTTGGTAATTATCCTTCCATTTAGGGGTGCCATCACCTAGAACAGGGGTAAAAGGCAATGACCAACAACAGTTAGTGGCCTCTTTTGTATGGGCAGCCGCTTTGTGAAAATAATGCCTTCTTTTGAAACAAATTGTTTTGTCTTTAGCACTTGTGCTACATGAATACTTCAGTACTTTTATATGAATGTTATTTTCTAAATAATTAATTCATTTTGCATACTTTTCCATCATCAGCTTATATCTTATTTAAATTTCCTCATTTGTTTGCTGTTTGTTTTTTATTATTATTATTATTATTTTTTACACAGAGATGATCATGGGCACCATGAGCACGAGTCATATTATGGGGATCGGGATACAGATAGCCTAGTTAAGGTGAGACTTTTGACCGTATTAATTGGATACAGATAGCCTGGTTGGCATATGGTATTGTGATTATCTGTCAAAATAATTGGTTTTGATCCTTGCAGACAATGGAGGACATGGTAGCTCCTATTTCTTTGCAGTCACAAAGTGCTTCAGACAGTCAGCCGTCCAATATGACAGATGATGCCAAAAGGCCTGCACCTTTAACAGGAGGATGTAGAATTGAGGGTTTTGTACGTGTAAAGAAGGTATTGTTTCCATAAATTATAGTCTGTGATTCTTTTGTTAGAACGTTGTTCTGTCATTAACTATTTAACAGGAGGATGTAGAATTAAGGGTACATGTAGTAAGATATTGGTTACATAAATTATAGTCATGATTCTTTCATTGGAACATTATTTCACTACTTATGGTTCATAGATTGTTTGTTCATCTTATGTATGATCTTAAAATTCTCATGTTGTGCAGGTTCCTGGCAACCTTGTTATATCAGCTCGTTCTGCTTCCCATTCTTTTGATGCTTCTCAGATGAACATGTCGCATGTTATTTCCCATTTTTCTTTCGGTAAAATGATCTCACCAAGGGTAATGAGTGACATGAAGCAAGTGCTGCCATATCTTGGTGGAAGCCATGATCGGTTGAATGGCATGCCATATATCAGTAATCCAAGTGATTCAAATGCAAATGTTACTGTAAGTTTTGTGTCTCTTTACATGCATACTTTTCCACCCTCTCATGTGCCTTTCATTTTTATGTTATATTGTTTCAGCATGCTTCTACCCTTGCCATTGCCATTATCCACCCTCCTTTCCTCTTCTTCTCCAGGTCTATAAAAAATGAGTATACTTTTGGATACTTGCAATTTAGCTTTTTAGCTACTGTTCAAATAGAAACAGACGTGTTAAATTCTTGTTGGTCCATCAGCCTTACACTTGATTTGTTATTGAGCTTCATGCTGATGAACCAATTTGCGTATTTGAGTTTTTAGAACTTGCTGATAATTTTGTAATATATCTGCTATTGTGTGCGCTTGCAGATAGAGCACTATCTTCAAGTCGTAAAAACTGAGGTGATGACAAGATCTTATAAATTAGTCGAGGATTATGAGTACACTGCTCACAGCAGTCTGGTCCACAGCCTTGACATCCCAGTTGCCAAATTTCACTTTGAACTATCTCCGATGCAGGTTTTGGGCCAATCTATTTAAATCATTCGTTAAGATTGCATTATAGAGTCTTTCTCCATTTGCTTCATCTCTTTCGTCTTTTATTAGGTCTTAATAACTGAAAACTCAAAGTCATTTTCGCACTTCATTACAAATGTCTGTGCCATTATTGGAGGTGTTTTTACGGTAGGTTTTCTCGCCCCCTCCTCCTTTCTCTTGTCGTGGTTTTTGTCATTGCTGTTTGGCGCGGCTTTAATTTTTGTGGTTTCAGGTTGCTGGAATATTGGACGCAGTGCTGCACAACACCATGAGACTGATGAAAAAAGTTGAATTGGGGAAACAATTCTGAAAGGAAGTTGGAATTAGGCAGTTGCATTAAAGAATATCAATTAGTGTGCACATTTTTTATATAGATGCTCAGATGAATATGTATTTTGTTATTCAGAATATTTGCAAGCAATCATGAGAATCACCATGTTTTCTTCACTTTGGTGGAGGTTATATTATGCAAAACTGACTTTAGGCAAACTTTTGCCCTGTTTGGGTTGGATATGAAAAAAATGATTTTTTTTTGTAAAATTTGATAAAGTTTGTGAAATTTGAGGTTAGAATGTTGATAAAAGTCGTGGGTCCTGCGATGTCTATGGTCGGAAATGTGTTTTAAGAAATTGGGACCAAACATGAGTTTTAACTTTCATTGTGCGTAACTGATGAACAAAAAGGGTAAAAATACGAACCGTAGGTCGGCTGTGGTTCGTTTCCTCTGATTTGGATCATCATTTCGCAATCAACAATCACATTTTCAAGGTTTTTGGGACCGGTTCAATCAAGAAACATGAGCAACTTTTCATTATTTAAGTGTTCCAAAGAAAAGGATGGAAGTTCAAAAAGTGGTACGGAGTTAAAAGAATAGAAATAATTTTATTATTTGGGAAAATTTGATTTGACCATTGTTCTAATTGGTCAAAAATTGGTCAATTGTTGATTTATGGGTTAACTGATGGCTTTTGGGATGGAAATCGTCCGTGAGATCTAACATTGCATAGTGTTTTAAAGGTTTGGTACTTGAGGTGCAAAATTTAAAAGTTTGAGATTAGTTGTTTATTTTTTAAAGGTTTGGAACCTCAGTCACAATTTACTAAAGGTTTAATGACAGGTCCATAATTTGGTATTCTTAAGTCACGACAGTGGTAAAAAACTAAAAATAATGTGCAATTATGAATGCAAGGGTATTTCTGACAACATACTTATGAAAGTGAGGGTGTAATGGTCCTTTCAATTTTAAGCTTATGTTTATCATCCTTTAAAATTTGGAGTAACCCACTTGTACAATCATTGGATGATTGTAAAATCTTACAATCTCTCACATTAGATGATTGTAAAATTTGTGGGTCCCACACTAATGTGAGAGGTTGTAAGATTTTACAATCATCTAATGATTGTACACCAAGCACATTTCTTAAAATTTTAAATTATTTGCTATAGTACTATTCTTCATCGCAAATTCACACAATAAAATATTTTACACACAAATCAATAAGATTTCCTTACTTTTTAATCACACATTTTTCATCAATCTACTATTCTATAATACATTACAAGAAATTAATGGCTCTCAAACAGGGCCTAAATGACATATGTTAAAAATCTCTCATTCGATAAATGTACTGTGCCATCATAATTTTTTAATGCCCAAGTTACCGTTGAAAAGTGGAAATTCTCATTAAAGTCTATGTTTGATGGTCATTTTTGAGAAAAAAAATGATATTTTGAATAGTGATTTTTTGAAAAATATGTGGTTGAAAAGAAAAAAATTTAAGTTTACGTGTAAAATATATTATTATATGAATATATAATTGAAAATGAGTGAAAATGAAAGAATTTTGTTTTAGAAGAAGGTAAATATGGGCAAAATTTCCTCTTCCACCCCAAGTGTAGAGGCTAATGGGCCTCACATGGATGTCAGCCCAATACCCATACTGATCAGACCCTGGGCCTAGTCTTTTCAAGAGACAGAGACAACGAAGGTAGGGCCTAAACTCAAGTGCTTTTCCCGCCCGGCCCAAACCTGGCAAATCAAGCAACACGCGACATTGGGCGCGTTTTATTAACTCTCCAACCTTCTTTCTATATGAAACACATGGCAAGGGGTTTACCGAGTCTCTCGATCCTTCGTCTTTTTCGCTTCACGCATAGCACCTGCATAAATTTTAGAGAGAGGAACTATAGAGAGGGGATAATAGGATGGAGATAAACGCATAAAGCGGGCATTGTTTGTGGATGTGTGTTCGGGCCGGGTCGAATATCTGTATATCCACCTCATTCTTCAACCTCCCCAACTGCTAAATAAATTAAAGAAACAAACAAAGCATGATTTAGAACCAAAAATAAGTTTTTTTCCTTATATTTGTATATCCCTTGAATCTTTGTAAAAAGGAATGCCAGCTATTGATCTGTGGCCCTTGGAAACGTTTTTCTTCTAAATTTGTGATCTGGGTTTTGGGAATTTCAGCTCATTTTTGCTGGTTCTTCAGTTTTTTTGGTTTAATTGAGAAAATGTGGAGGGGCCCTGGAGCTCCTGTCGATTCTTATTATAAGGTTCGGCCTGAATGCAATGATGTTCCCAAAACCAAGTTCAGAATCAAGGTTTGCTCATTATTTCTTATATTCGATTTTCCCTTTTACCAGATTGTCAGTTTCAATTGGTGTAAACCTACATTGATGCTGGAAATGATTTAAGAATTTTTTTTGACATTTTAAATTCTCTCAACTTATCAAACAAAAGGTTGCTTCATTGCATGTGTATCACTACGATGGGTAAAGTGTTAACCATGATATTAAAATATGGATGAATTTGATCAAGAACATGGAGGTTTTTTAGTCACGGTTTGATAAGGGTGCATCTTTCTTGGTTCCTGTCCAATTATCCGGATTTTCTTGTATAGAGTATGGATGGAGGTTACTTTGGATGTAGGTTTCTATAAGTTTGTAAAGTTGGTTTTTGATGATATTCGTATGACTGGTTGAACCAATGACTCAAATTCTGATTTACGAGGATATGGGAAATGAGGGTTTAGATGACTAGTGCTACACTAAAGTATAGTGATGCAAAAACAAAATTTTAGGCAACCAAATCTTGAACTAGGTTTCAGCGTTGAGCATATATTCTCTACAGATATCTCCAAAAGTTAACTGCACAAGTATTTTTCAATAGATTTTTCTCTCTGAACACTTGACAACATTTAACCTTGGTATATCATTTTAGGAAAACTCAGATTATGTCCTGTCCAATAAAGCAATCTCGGTGAAGAACAATCTGTTCTCATTCCAAATGCATTTTTAATGGTGAAAGGGTGGACAAGATGTTTTCTTCTCAATACCAGTTTCCAAGCTTCTGGATGTGGTGAATATCTGTTATAGCTTGAAATATGCAGTAAGAAATGGAAAGTAGAGGTATAATGAACTGAAAAATATTGTCAGCTGCCTCTATAGTTGTAATGCATGCGAAGTCTTTTCTAGGAAAAAATTCAGTTCTCTTCTCTTCTCTTCCCTAATAGAAGGCTTGAAGTCATGCTGAGTTGTATTGCCTCACAGAGGAAGGCAGGGGACGGAAAGTTTCTGGCTTTTTAAGGTGTCTATTCTTTAGAAAAGTACAAGTTTCGAAGGGAAAAGAGTGTTCAGGGTCCTGGATGGGCTAATATATTCTATATCACAAGGTTTCTATATAAGTCTTTCTTTCTTTCTTTTTTCTTCTTACTCATTCTTGAGTTTGTTCGAAGTAAGCTTCAAATTGATTTTCTAAAACAGAGGTGTAGTACTTGAAGGCCCATCACGGAGCAGAAAAGGGGATGAGAGTGCTAACAGTGTAAATTGATTGAGGAACCATGTTCGCTTGCATATGTGACACATTCAGATACACACTGGATTGTCATTGAAAGGCCTGATGACTGTCTTCCAGAACTGTGTTTATTCAACTACGGGCTTTCTATTTTTTTTTTTCAGACATTTGAGTATATTCTCTTCCTCGTAGATTCTAGAAGTATTGATGGCATCTTGAAAATAGAAGTGTATAGTAAATTGTATTTTGGAGAATAGAAGCGATCAAGTTCATTTATTATAACTGAATACCATGCCCACATTTATTTTTTCTCCTTCTTTTCCCTTTAAATTTAGGGGATAGTCAAATTTTATCACCTTCACAAAATGAGTGAACTAACTTCTTGATTAGTATCGATAAGAAGGCATAGTTTTGTTTTGTTTTTTTTTTTTTTCCGTTTTTTCATGTACGTTTTAGAGTAATCAGGCTGTGCAATTATTGTTATTCAAGGTTTAACTTCCTCCACATCCCTTTCTTTGCATATGCTCAATAGTTTCTGAGGGCTTGTACAATTGTCTGTATTTTTTATTAAACTAAATTAAGGGAGATATGACTAGGGCTAACAATGGCTTGTTTAGTAATATAGTTTAAGGATAGGTCTATTTGTTGAAAGAATATTTGTTGTGCTAGATTCCCACCTGTGCCCATCAAAGTTGTCTTCCAAGATATGTCTATTACTCGCCTTCTCCTAAAATGACGCCACCACTATTGACCTTGTCTTGAAGCCTAAGATTTGAATAGTCCAGTCTTGAATAATGGACTTCATTTATTCTTGATTTAAGCTTAGAAGCCTGTTTATTTAGACTTATCGGGTTGACAACTAGAACTCTAGCTTGTTGGATGAGTCAAGAGATTTCCTTTAGTGAATTTTATATATTTCAATATACCTTCTGAGTTAATAGGCATTCCTTTTTATACTAGGATTTGTCTAGGTATTCTTTTGAATCAGTTGCTAATGTTATTTCAATATACCCAGTATTTATGCTTCCTGGCTTGAAATAACTTCTTTTTCTACATAATCAGGCTGGCAAAACTTTAAGTTCTCGGAAATGGCAAGCCGCTTTTTCTCCAGAAGGTCACCTCGATATAGGCAAAACACTGGGTCGAATTCAACGTGGGGTAAGATTTTCCTTTTTTATTAAAAAATGCTACTTGTTTCCACCATGTTTGATCATCCAAAAGTGAATATAATCTGATGAAGACTATTTTGGTTGATAATCAATCATCTGGTTTTTCTTGGTTATGTGATAGTCTATACTGTATTTATAGCTGTACATGTGCTTTCTTGTCTTTGTCTGTGTTTCTTATCAAAAGGATTCTTTTATCAGTTTTAGATTTTTTTACCCCTTTTGGAGCTGAGCTTCATTAAATTTGATAAAAAACATTCTTTCTCATATCTTGGATCAGCCATCATACCACATTATTAGATCTTCCATAAACACAATAGAGTATTCTAAGTGCTTGTTTGGATA